GGGGGGGGGGGGCTGTTATTAAAGTTGACGATTTTGGGTTAATTTATGGCATCTGGACTTTCTATGTGTTATAACACTTCAACCACTTGTAAATCTAAAAGATCCTAGCTCTTTGTGTTGTAATCAACATCTTTCAGATTTTCTGTCCTTGAAATGTTTTTGTGCCTGCTATGTAACAATGTGTGTTTGTTTTTTTCAAAACTTCAATTTTTGATAGTTTTTCTCTTTTACTTTTTAAAAATGTTTCTTTGATTCCAATGAAATTTTCAGGGCTTGTTATTCACATCATAACCTAACTTTATGTCAAATCGATGAAATCATAAGTGAGTTACATGGATGATTATGTAATCGAATCAGAGGCATAAAGGGGTAGGTCAGTTATCCACCTCTAACCTCTTTCCTATTTAAGATATCCAGAATACCAACTGTATTAACATTTTTATTGAGTAAATCTATCAATGTACTAAAGTAGCTAAACAAACGAATTCTTTTTACTTTTATGAAAGCTGTTTATTTTCAATATGGCCGCTGTTACCATTGTAACCTTAGACTTAAACATATACTTCCTTGCTGTAAGGCTTTATCTGAAAGGTCATAGTTACCGAGATAGGTTTATAAAACAGCCCCTGTGTTTAATTTAAAAAATAGTGATAACAATGATAACTAACTAACTAACTAACTAGTGATGATGATGATGATGATGATGATGATGATGATGATGATGATGATGATGATGATGATGATGATTTTACTTTTTTTCCTCAATGGACATGATGGATTCAACGAAAAATCTTCGAGAGAGAGAGAGAGCTCCATTGTCATTATGCTCAGAGGCACCTTCACTCGTCCAAATAACTCCATTCGATAATGATTATGATAAAAACTAACTAACTAACTAACCCATTATGATGAAGATGAGGATGAGGATGATGAGGATGATGATGATGATAATAATAATAAATTGTAAACTCCGCCCTGTCCCATACAAGTGTAGGGTCTGAGGGCTTATGACTTGTCAATAAGCCCAAAAGGTTTGTGTGAAATTGTCATTCTGAGGATCTTTAGAACTAAGACAAATTAATGAATAGCCTTATAAACGCTGCAAAGTTGGCAACTCGCAAGAATTTTCCTTCTGCAGATTTGAATCAAGGTCGCCTGTACTTCAGTCTGACCTGATTCAAACTGAAGTAAACGTTGCTGGTTTTAGCCAAGGAATGCTGGGTTCGTAAACATGTTGGGTCTCGAGCTAGTGCGTGTACTTTGATAGTTACATGAGTAGGCTAACTTTCTCTTTACGAAGAAAATAATGGCAAGACTAAATTCTCGTTGCCGATTCCCTTGTGCGTTTATTTGCATAATGATTTGCATTCTCATTTGCCTAGTTCTCGATTTTTATGTCTATAAGAGGGAAAACGTAGCCAGGGCAGTATGTCAGCTTTCAGTTCACTTAACTCTCTTTTAGTGTAGATTTTTTTTTCTTTTTCAAACAGTACAGATAATAGTATTTTGATGGCTTAACACTCGATCCCCCAAGCATGACTCATAATCAAGATCTAAAGTGTTCTCGAAAAAGGGGTCAGAAGTTCAGACACTCTTGGCCCTGAAAGCACCATGCTGAGCCACCACAATGCTCATGAGTGTGGATCAAATCTTCAAGAGGGTCGGGGCACCTTGAACTTGGTTAGTTTGAGGGGAGTTCAAGGCTCTCTGGAATCTTAGGTCCGTCTCATCTAGTGAGTTAGTAAAATTAGAGGTCCATGGATCTGAAAGGGATGCCAAAAACATACATCAGATACATCTTTATTTTCTGACCTGGTAATATCATGCTGGTTCAACTTGTCGTGCGAGGGTACTCTCCATTTAATGTATCTGGTCCAGCCTCTGTTGATAGCTGGCAGTCTACGGCATCATTACAGGAGCCGGTCATTGAGTGTCCCCACGGACTTTAGGGGCAGAGAAACTCGTGTGGCGAAGGTTATTAACAACTCACCATTCCCGTGCACTGACACCACTGAGGGGGTATCTCCCGGTACAGTGAAGCTATGCAGACCACCCCCACCCCTTTGTCTGTCTGTCTGTCTGTCTGTCTGTCTGTCTGTCTGTCTGTCTGTCGAAAAATTGATCTGTCGCTTCGTTTGCCTGCATGCTTGTCTGTCTGCAGAGTACGTTGAAAATGGTGAGGCTCTCTCTCTCTCTCTCTCTCTCTCTCTCTCTCTCTCTCTCTCTCTCTCTCTCTCTCTCTGCTTGCGCAACTCTAGTAAATGTAAAGTACAAATAGAATATTAAGCTTTCTGTAACTTTGTCTTTTTTCTGCTTTTGCACCAAACTAAACACATTTCAGTTGTTTCTGAAGGCCTGTCAAGTACTGGGAACTTTGCGATGGCGGACTTCTGGTCGCTGCTTTTCGCAAAATTATGTTTTGCTAATCAGGGAATTAGCTCGGAGAGGAGTGATCACAACTGTTGTTGTAATACTCTTCTCCCTCCCTCTCAACTCCCTCTCCCCCCCCCCAACAACTACTCCCTCCAAACAGAGTCGCAAAAAGAAAAAAGAAAAAAAAACCAGGATGGGAGGTGGGACTCTGCTCCAAAATGTGTTGCCTTTAAAATAACTTACAGAACTTTATACTCCCAGAAATAGTATTATCACAAGAACTGTTTAGTAGAAGGATGTAGTTTTTAAAAAGTTTTTAGAATGTCTGATGTCGTTATAAAAATATTCAATACCTCATATTTCAAAATGACTTCACCAACTCCACAACGGTCATATTGTGCTGAGAAGGAATAAAACACTTATTGGTTGGGTGTTACACCCATAGCATAGTACTGGGACGAGGCAATCAAAACTAAGTAGTATCGAAATATTTTGATCTGTGTAAATGTTTCCTTGTACTTTACAAAGCAACTCCAGGACACATGTATCCTGTTCACTTCAGTGTGTGTTCTTTCCTCTTTACTTCTTGTTTAGAGCAAGTACCTATGTTCTGCCGATATTTCAATGTTTTTGTTTTCCATGTAGCAACCGTTTGGTCACTCGTGTACTTCGTCATGTGTTTGTTTTCATCTTTGCATTTAAAAAAAACCCTAATGTTGGCTACTTTTCACTATCATTTTTTTCATAATGTTGAAGTTAATTTTCACGTATTCTTCCCTTTTTGTGCAAAGTGTCAAATCATGGGCGAATATCAAGTCTTTTAAGTGTTCTCCATCGATTGAAATCCCTTTGCCCCAACGACGCCATTTTGAATACTTCGTCGACTGCAGCTGTGAATATTTTAAGAGTTATGAGGTCGCTTTGTCTCACATCCTTTTCAATGGCAAACATTTCTGCAAGTGATTACCAAGGTGGATACGAGCTGGCACCTGACCATAAATCAAACGTGTATAAGCATATTTACTTCTCATACTTTCTCATGGCCTGATTTCCTCATATATCCACAAAATCTTTTTTGAATTGTTTTACTTTGTTTTCAAAGTTGCAATTCCCCGGGTTAGGTCTCCTTCATTGTTGCCCTCTCTCTCTCTATCTGTCTGTCTGTCTGTCTGTCTGTCTGTCTGTCTCTCTCTCTCTCTCTCTCTTTCTCTTTTCTCTTTCTCTCTCGGTATGTCTCTTAGTTCTTTCTCTCTTTCTCTTTCTCTCTCTCTCTCCCTCACGCGTGTGTGTATATGTGTTTGTGTGTCCCTCGCCTTCTTCTCTCACTCTATCTCCCTCTCCCCTCTGTGTCTGATAACATTCTCTCTCTCGTGCCATCCCAATCTACGTCTCCACACCCCCTCCCCCTCCACCACGCACACTTTTGTCACTTTCTCTCTTTTCATAGTACACCAATTTTTCAGCTGATCTGGTGCCCCTTGAACCCTCGTCTCTGCACCCCGATATTCATCTGTCAAAGGTCACGCTTGCTCAAGTCGCTCGATCACCGCAGTCACAACCAATCCGCGTATCTACATAATTTCCCGATTTCGAGTTCAATTTCCTCATGGGGATGTCTGTTTCCTCAAGAATATCCCTCTGTCGACTCGGAAGTTGTATCCCTGGATAGATATTGATAAAGATATATCGACGGGACGTAAAACATTGATTCAGTCAGTGAAACCATTTAGTGTTACATCGCAGTTGGGTTTGGACTTGGCCGACATGTAGACTTCCTGGGCTCGATTCAGAAAAAAAAAAGATGAGGGAGGGGGCTGTTCCAGTCTTGATGGTTTTCCTAGAGTGCAGCCATTGTTTGGCAGATCCTCAATTTCCTTAATATCTACGAAGCTTTTTTGGATTTGAATTCTGTAACTGTTTATGTTTACCTATATTCGTAAACGCTATGTTCTTTTCCGAATTTGGCGTATCCGACTTTTGTATGGAACTCGGTACGCCCGTCAACAAATCGCATGTTTTCTCTTTTTCATCTTGCTGAAATTTCTATTATTTTTAGTAGTTTAGCTATAAAGAAAACAACAACAACAACAACAACAACAACAACAAAAACAACAGCAATAAGAACAAGAACAATAACAAAAATAGAATAAGAAAAACAACAACAACAACAACAATAACAACAACAACAACAACAACAACAACAACAACAGCAACAACAACAACAGCAGCAGCAGTAGCAGCAACAACAACAACAACAACAACAACTACTGAAACAACAACAACGACAGCAACAACACTCATTTTTCTCATTCATACATAAAAAGCATAATCCAACCTTTCTGAATACTCCCCCCTTTTCCACCACCCCCCTCCCATAGGACATGCTGAGTCTTGACGTATCTCGCTTTCTTCACGGAGGAGTCAAAGTCTACGGGTTCCAGTTGGTGGATGTCTCGCGACGACAAGTGCAAACGTTTCTAGAAGAATGGCAGGAACTGGAACCAGGAATCTGGCCTGGTGCAGGCACCAATCTTCTACAGGTATACTGAGAGAGAGAGAGAGAGAGAGAGAGAGAGAGAGAGAGAGGGGGGAGGGGGAAGAGGACGGGAGAGATTACATTGGGTTTTTTTTTTTTACTATCGCTGCTGCCTTTTAGGGAAGGAGTTTGGAAGGAGCCAAAGACAAGTCCTATTTCTTTCTATTTTTCCCTTTTTGTTTGTTTCTTTCTATCTTGTTTGTTCCCTTCACTAAATGGCTCTGCCTTTTTAGCCAATTTGATTTTGTTCGCTCAAAGTCTACTCAAACTGGTGGTAGTGGTGCTGTCGATTTAGTTCTTTTTAGCGAGTCCACAGCGTAAATCAAATCGGAGACTGAAGGGAGATAAGTATGGAAGTACGAGGAGCACAGTTCTGACCCAAATCAAGTGTGAACATCATGCTTCCGTGGTTCTATTAAACTGTTGGTTTGATCTGTACAACCATATATTTAGAAATTTGCGTGCTTTGTGTCGAGGTCAAAAGATGCCTTTCTTCACGAACACAAAGCAACATTGCATGCGGAGATATTTTTATTCTTTTGCCAAACAGTCGTTGCACTTGGAGCTTAACAGAACGTCTTTTTTTTGGGGGTTGTTTATCTAGCGCCTTTTGTGTCACGGTTAGGCCTTTCGCTGTTGCACACTAGAGATGTCTTTTCTATTCAACATTTACGATTTTAGCGCTATTCGCTACTAATCGAAAAGTGGAAGAGCATTCCAATACTGTGAGATTTTTTAAAACAGATACTAATTGTTCGCCTCTTGCACCAGCCCTCAACACACGAGCAAATCATATAAAAACCACTTTAATAAACAGCAATATTTTATGCTTGATAATTCCGATACAGAGCGATAAGTGGAGTCTACAAGAAGAAGAAGAAGAAGAAGAAGAAGAA